CCATCCCCCCAGGAAGAGGCCCCCTCCCAGACAACTCCTCCACCCCAGGGGGGGCTATTCTTCTGTCTACTGGAATGTTTTTAAGGAAAAATTCCCATCCAGTATGATCTCAAGCCAAGAGGCCATGAAAGAAAGTATTAACTGCTTCCCCCTGAGGGCTGTGAGGGCCAGGCCTTGTAAGGCACCGTTTTAATTTTCTTCATCTTTTGCTGGGTTTTCCAAAGGTTCTGTAACCAGCGTGTATAGCTTTTATCATGGGGGGGTGGGGGGAGGATAAAAGAGGGATCGTGTGTGTCTTTAAGGCTGGTTCCCTCTTTAAATGGTCTCACCAGATGTTGTTAGTTGGACCTTCTGAGATGTGGACTGAACTCTTCTTAAAGGTCCAGATTTATCCATTTACTCCAACAGACAAAGGGTTTAGTGTCACTTGGCACCCGCACCTCCTGGCTTGGGAAGAGGGAGGGTTGAAAAAGCTGAGTAGGCCGTGTCCTAGGGCCGCCTTCAACCCCTGCCCCCTCCATGGCAGAAATACCCAGGGAAGGTGAGATTCCACCCTTGACTTCCTGGGTGAGCCTGGCCTCAGTTTCCCCATTTGTAAAATGGGGGCACTGGGCTTATCTATCTCCAAGGGCCCTTCCAATGGGGCCATCCTAGAATTCAAGGTATAATCAGGTTCAGGAAGGTTTGGGGCTGGGATGTGGTTTCCAAATGGGAGCCATTCATCCTCAGTTGGTGAGAAAGGTTTAAAAGGTCTGTCTCATCCGTCTCCCTCCTCAGGCCCGGGGAGAGTTTAAACCAGCAGCCACAGAGGCAAATGCCTACTACAGGGGCCTGGCAGGTGACAGGGAAGACAGAAGTGCACCGAGTGTGAGAAAATAACCCCTTTAGCCCCTCGGTGAGCGGCCCCTGATAGTCAGCCTCAGTGTCAGGGAAGCAATAGGGAGTAGTGGGGCATGGGGCACACGGCCCATCTCATCAGCTCCAGCTGAGGGTTGCCGTCACCCAGCATTGCCTGATCTACTGATATTTTAGTAAAACCTCCCAATTTTTTAAAGGTTTGCCAAACCAAACACCTCTGTGTGCCAGACACAGCCCCGTGGGTGTCAGGATGTGACCACCAGGCTCAACTGCCTGGGACACTCCTCCTGAACTTCTCCAGGCTGGAGATGCTGAAACCAGCATTCTGTTGCTCTGGCTGCCAGGAAGTTGTTGCTCACTTCCAACGAAAACTTCTCCTGCTTTAAATCCTTCTTATTCTCGTGTGGGTGGAGGTATGAGCGAGAATTGGCTCCTTATTAAAAACACCTTTCAGAAACTGGAAAAACAGCTCAGACGCAGTGACCCACGAAACAAGTGGGCGTCAGAAGACCCATGTTCAAGTCCAACTCTGTCATGGATCATCTGTGTGACCTTGAGCAAGTCACTTCACCTCTCTGGGCCTTAGTTTTGTGTTTGTTCTTTTCTCTCCCTGTCTCCTTTGCCTCTGCCTTGGGGTTCACCACCTTGCACCCAAACCACACAATGACAACAGCAGTTATAACTAGAGCTTCTTCTTACCGAGCACGCCTTCTGTATCAGGACTTATCCTAAATACTTTCTATACATCATTTTATTTCATCTTACCGACAATTCTACGGGATGGATATTTTAATTCCCATTTTACAGATTGAAGCACTGAGCCCAAGGCTCTTCCACCAGTAAATGGTAGACCGGGATATGAACCACACTCATAAGCACCAGCTCTTCTGCTCCTTCCTGGGTCTCCCTGACACCAGACCAGGCTCCCCTTTGGCCACTGCAATGGCCTTTCTAACACCCAGATCCAGTGATGACCCTCCACTGCTCAACAATCTTGAGTGGCTCCCCAGTACCTTAGCCACCCAGCCCGGCACTGGTGGTCCCATCAGTCCACACTCAGCACACCTTTCCTCCTTCTCACACACTTTACTGTTCCAGCCCAGGGCTTCCCAATCACCCACGAGCCGCATTCGTGAGTTTTTCCTGCTGTTCACATATCTTAATTTATTGTTTACTTAATATTGATTATTCCCTTCCCAGTATTCTTTCTGTCAATTCATTTTCAACTTAAATTTATTTCTATTTATTCTCACGTGTTTGTGCTATTTAAATCACTTCCTAACACTCATTAAGATGAAAAGCTCCAAAGTAAATAATGTTCATCTATGTGCCATTGCAAGTCGCCCCTCCTCGGACCCGTGGTGGGTGCCCCACCTGGGGAATCGTTGCCTGCAATCAACCCGCGCCCCTCCCCGGCCTGGGCGGGCCCCTTCTCACCCTTCAGAGCCCCACTCCACCTGCATCTCTTCTCTTTTCACGACACATGTGCTTCCAGGCAAAGGGACGGAAATCTCTGCGTGGGCAGGCCTTCCCCACACACTGCCGGCCCCCGAGGCAGGGCCCAGGGCTTACTCACCCCCCCTCTCGGTCCTTACACAGGGCCGGGCACACAGTAGGTGCTTTGGGGCACTGCCACGAAGTAGGTACTTTGCAATGTTGCATGAATTGAATTAGGCTCAACCAGCTTTTCTCAAAGTGTGGGAGGGGATGACAGGTGGCCCGCAGGATGAACTGGGGAGGACATGAGCTCATCGTGAAATCACAGTAAGGAAGTGACTGCAACTCTCTCCAGTCCTTCTGTTGACACCAAGGAGAAAGTCTCAGTTCAGCGCCAGTGTACCTTAAACACCTCTCTGACACTTGGTCATTGCTCCTTTTAACAAAAAGAAAGCAGCTGGGGGGCTTGGAATCATCCACGCCCACCTCCTCCAGCCGGAAGTTACTAACACGAATTTGTTTATATTTTCACAGTTACTTTCTACTCATGATGATGGATACTGATTTTTCACAGTGAGATATAAAATTTCCTATTTAAATAAATTTGTAAGTTTATAAAGTAAGTTGATTTAAAGAAAAGTATTAAGCAAATAAGAAGTAGTAGATTTCATTATTTCTTTAAAATAACTTATCTAGTAGATGGATATGCAAAAATTGTTACGATGATACTAAAATTTGGGGAATGTGGGACTGGAAAGCCCCTTTGTCAAGAGATGCTCTGACACTGGGCTGCCCCAGAACACTAGATAACCATTAATCAAATCACCCCATGAAAATTACAACTGTGATGGGTGCCGTGAAGGAGAGATATCTGGCATGCTAGAGTGAGAGTCGGGGAAATCGGGAAAGGCTTTCCTGAGGAGGTGACGTTGGGTGGAGATTTACAGGATGAATAGGAATTCATTAGGGGAAGGTGTTCGACCCAGCAAGAATAGCATTTGCAAAGGCCCTGTGGCACAAAGGAGCATGGAACATAAGAGGCTTTGAACCAAGGTTAGAGTGGCTGGAGTACAAAAGTGAAGCCAGAGAGATGGGCAGGTGACAACCTTTAACATTTAAAGACAGAGGTGGGGGAAAAATCTGTCCATCATTCCCACTTAGGACAGACTTACTCATCCTTCGAGAGGAGCCACCCAGTGTCTGACCCTTGATGGGAGGGTCTGCGGTTCAGTGAGGAGTTTCTGGATTCTATGCTAATAACTGGGTTAGGTCCAAAACCTGGCAAGGTTTGGCAAACACCACTTGGCGCAGGTTGTGGCTCTGGGGTGGCCATGACAGCTGAGTGCAGGTTCAGAATTCAGGCTGTCCTAACCCCCACTTCCTGGGAGGGTGACCTTGGGCAGCCACGGAAGCTCCCCGAGCCTCGGGTCTGCACAGTGGGGTGGAGACACCAGCAGGTCTGCCCTTAGAGTTGGCGTGAGTTACACGAGCTCCCGCATGTCAGTCACCAGCACCGAGCCTCGCCCATGGCGAAAGGTGAATGACTGTTAGCTTACGATGGTTCCGGGCAAACAGCTCCGAGAGCAGTGTGCGTGTACACGGCCCTGCTGGAGCATGGCTTCAGGAGCCCGGCTTTGCAACATATGTGTGGTGTGTATGCACGTGTATGCTCATATTTTGCAGTTCGGGAGAGCAGGGCACGTGTGCGCAGCCGTGTGGGTCAGAGGGAACACGCTTTGGTGTGCTCTGCGCATGTGTGTGTGTGAACGCATCTCTATATAGAATTCTTCTGCATATGAATGTGCACATAGCGAAAACCCACACAAACCCAGCGTGGTCAGTGACAGTCAAGGGGTGAAAGCCATGGCCTGTCGTCATAGCTCTTTCCCAAACCACCACGGCTCCCGAGAAGCCGCCCGGGGCTCCCGGGCCTGTGTGCGGCTGGGCTGCGATTCCCTGAAAACATGCCTTTCTCTCATTCTCTGTTCCTAGATACTGGTGCAAACACACACACACGCACACACACTCCCCTCTTCCAGAGCACCTCAACCATCCCCAGGTGTCAGCCCAGGAAACCACGACATCCAGGTATTGCCCTCCTCTTCCCCCTCCGCAGGCCCACCTCCCACCCCATTCCCATGGGAGCATCTCTCCCAGTGCTACCTGCATATCTCCCTTTCCTGCTGAGTCTCAAGCAGTGAAACCACCCCAAGCGTGGTGAGCAGCTCTCCCCTCTCCCCTCGGCACCCCTAATCCCCCTTGCCCCACACTGCCCGCCTGGGCTGCCAGGGGCCTTTAACCCCCATCCAAACCCCCGTGGGGACAGTAGGCATATCTGACCCTCAGCCCCGATTCTAAAATGCGACACCAGCAAGTTCTGTCCAGGGCCCAAGAGCTGGGGTGCCAGCTCCGACCTGCGCTGCGGGCCGGGCCAGTGTCGAAGTTTGCAAGTCCTCTCATCTTACTCCACCCACTTCACACGGACAGATGGAGGCCCAGAGAGGAGCGAGGACGTCGCCCGAGAAGGGTTCCTGCACCCCCACCCCTACTCCTGCTGGTGGGGGGCAGTTAAGCACAGACCGCTGGAGAGGACCCGAGGGTCGTCTCAGCGTAAAAGGCAGGGGTCTGCCCTGGACACCCCCTCGAGGGCAGCGACCCGCCAAAAGGGGACAGAGCGAGGTGGTCCAGGCCTTGGCAGGCGTTACCATGGTGACGGGCTACAAGTGGAGGCCGCGGCTGCTCCTCTCCTGGGTGCCGGGTCAGTCGGTCCGCTGGTCGATCTGTCGGGTGCAGCCCCGGCCCCCTCCTAGCACTGGGGCGAGCGGAGCGGGCTGGCCCGGGGCGCCGACCCCAGCCTCATCTCCGAGGGGAGGCCAAGGACGCAGGGAGACAGACAGAGACAGGGGTGCCGGAGAGACGGGCGAGACCGAGACTGGAGACGGGGAGAGACGCGGCGGCGGGGGCCGGGCCACCACCGAGGGGCGGCCGCAGGGGCGGGGCGGGCAGGCGGAGGCGGCCCGGGGTCCCCGCCCGGGTCGGAGCGCGGCTCCCCGCGTGGGCCAGGCCGGCGCGACTGCAGCCCCTTTGTGCCGGCGCCGCGCCCCCGCCCGCCCGCTGCGGCGCGAGATGAGAAGCAGGCGGCCCGCTCCCGGCCCTCCGGCCGCCGGCTGCCAAGACGCGCTGAGCCGCCCCGCGCCCTGGCCTCCCCGCCCCCCCTTCCCGGGCGCTCCCGCCGCGTCTGGCTGCCCCGCCCGCCCCGCGGCCCCCGTTGTTCAGACCGGCAGAGGGAGGGTTCAGCGCGTACCCCTCTTTGGAGTCAGACCTGGATGGGGGTCTCCTCCTCGTCTACTTTCCAGCTGGGGGATTCCAGCAAATCATCAACTGTCCTAAACCTCAGTTTGCTCATCTGTAAAATGGAGATGATGATGATGATACTGATAATACCGGCCTCCTAGATTTGGTGGCAAGGAGCAAGCATCTGTCGTGTCGCCCTTCCTCTGTGAAGCCCACCCCACCCACCATCATGATGGCCCAATTCAAGGCTTAGAGATGATGGTAGCCCTATGCGCGTTCTGGTCTCATTTCTCTCAGATAAAGACTAGCTTTGTGACCTTGGCCAAGCCATTGTTCCTCAGCTTTAGAGGGAGACTAGAAACTAGATGACTCTGGGATTCATCCACATATTTATCAAACATTGGACCCAGAACAAGTCAGAGTCCCTGCCCTCAGGTAATGTATAATCTAGTAGGGGGTGGGAGTGAGGAGTAGGGGGAGAAACAGAGTTCGAAGCAGAAGGAACAGCATGTGCAAAGGCCCTGAGGTATTAAGCTTAAAGAAATTGAGAGTAAGCAAAGAACTGAAAACAGCAGAGTGTGGTAGTAGGGGTTTAAGTTCAAAGCTCCAGCCTCATTCACAGCCCATCTTCCACCCCACACAGCTTAACCAGTCTTTTAACAGAGAGAACCTGAGCTAGGAGCCATCTCAAGTTGCTGCATAACTTTTAACAAGTTCCTTCACATCCCTGGACCTCCATTTGGGACTAATAATCCCCAGTAATTCCACCGTGCCACACAGCCCAGAGGTCCCGTCCATGGTATGTATTCAGCAATCAGATAAATCCTCTGCTGTCCTCAGGAGCCAGTCTGGACGGTTTTGGCATCACTGCTCTAGACAAGAATTTGGGAGAGAACAGACTTGTTAACATCGGGTGCACAGTTCCACTGCGAGTCGGGGGCTTGTATCTTGGAGGTTCCAAAGGCCCAGCTTTGCAGTGAGACAGAAGTGACACCTGGGGTTCTGGGCTTGCGGGCAACAGAGCCTGACTCCGAGTGAGTTAAGTGGAGAAATAATGGATTGGCAGGGTTTCAGACTCAGTGAGAACCACAGAATCGATGAGCAGGCTGTGGGCCCGTCCTCTGGAAAACACAGGAACAGGGGAGATGCTCCAGGGGCCTCACTGGAAGGAATGAATTGTAACCCTTGAAGACTGGTGGAATTGCATGAAGACAGACAAACACACCGAAGTAGAACTTTCTACACGTTAGGTACTTCTCTAAGTGAGTGACAGTTATGAGGTAGATCTTACTATTATCCTTGTTTTACAGATGAAGAAACTGAGGCACAGAGAGGTCACGCAGCTTGCCCAGTGTTGGATAGCTAGTAATCTGCAGAGTCCAGAATTGGACAAGGCTATCCATTTGCAGCAGTTATGTTATTAACCACCGTCCTGTGCCACCTGAGTGAATTCCATGACCTCGTGTCACTCCTTGCTAGATTCAAAGACTTAAAAGAGAGATTCTAACTGGGTCATGTGCCCAAGGTCCCACAAACACAGAATACACCAGGAATAATTGGTCACCCAAAAGGAAATGAGGTTGCAAAAGAAGGGTGGGAATGGATCTGAAATGGCTTATAAATAACAAGCGCTCATTAAGTCCAGCCCTTGGGGCTCTTGCTATCCTTTGTTCCTTTATTCCCAGGCACGTCCTTCAAAAATAGTCTCTACTGACATGGTGCAACCCTATATGCAACCACAAATGTAAACACACACATCCAGACACGCTGTGTGGTTTCGTCCCATCCTGTGCGTGACCTCAAGGAGGTTCGCCTTTCTGAGCCTCAGATTCGTCCTTTGTAAGGCAGAGAATAATATTTACTTCCTCACAGGACTATGGTTGTAAATCAGTTAATCAGTGCGAGGTGCTTTGCGCTGTGCCTGGTATACAACACACAAAACCGTGTTGTTTACGTTAGGGGCCCATGGTTGTGAAACCTGCCTCCAAACGCGCAGGCCTAACTGGTGGGCTGGACACGGTTCATCTCTCAGGGGCTTTCTGAGGATTTTTCCAAGGACTGTCCAAGTATTCATTTCCTCTCTCTTTGGTAAATGAATAACTGAATCGTGCTCCAAGTCAGCACTAGATTTGGGAGAAATAAGAAAACCCATCCCTGGTCTTACACATGGTGGAGTGGAAAACAGGGGAGCGAGGTGGACATGGGTTCTGCTACTGATTTGCTGGGTAGCCTGGCGTAGGTCCCTCCCATCTTGGGGCGGCAGTTTCCTCAGCATAAAATGGAGGTTATAATCCTCTCCTCACGAGACTTCTGTGAGAATCCGACGAGATAATGCGTCAACAGTGCTTAACACAGTGCCTGGCATGAACTAGGTCCCCAGCAAATGGCGGCTTTATCTACGATTCTGAGATTCCCAGGGCCAGGTGCCAGGACATCTCACCAGGGGACAGTCTCATTGGGGGAGGTGGGTTGCCTAATTTAAACAGAATGTCATGGGATTCAGAATTCACTCATTCAATAAATACTTATTTGTTCCTACTATAAGGATAGCAAGTGCTTGGCATCCGTGCGTACACTCTCCCCTCTCCTACCCATGGTAGACATCGTTAATCAATGGTGGAACTTCCTAGTGAACCTGGAAGCAGCCTCAGAATCCTCAAGACAGAACCCAGGCAGCTGCTACCAATCAAGATGAGTTGGCATTAGAGACAGTGCTTGTCGTCTGTGGTCCCTAATGTGTAAGGAAGATTGGCACCGAAGAAGACACAGGCTCTGGAGGCAGAAGGCTTGGGTTTAAGTCTAGCCTTAAAACTCCCCACAGACCTTTATTATAATGAGCAGCTGCCGAGGCGTTGTATCAGCCGTGGAGTGTGCAGCTAGACTTCTCTTCAGGAAGGAGACTGCTGCGGGAAGTTCCATGAGCTGTGGGTACCTCCAGGATGCGTTTTTCGAGCTGAGGCCACGTGCGTCCTGGGCAGCCCTCAGCGGAGCACAGTGTGCACAGGGGTCTGCCATTTCTGCCTGAGGTGGGACTCTTCTGCGCACAGTCTTTGGGCCAGAGCTCCCCATCAGGCTGGCTAGACTTTCTCAGTGACGTGCCACATTCTGAAGCTCCTTTCACCCAATCCTCCTTTCTTCCCCCTTTTCTTGCACAGGTGTCAGACCCGCAGTTTGGTCTGAGGTTCTCCCTTGCTCTTCCTGCTCCCTCTCCCCTTTATCCCCACGGGCATCACCCCCAATGAATCTCGGGTACTTCTAACTCTGTCTTTGGTGTGTGTTTCTCAGAGGATGCAACTAACCCAGCATGGAGTCATGTAAGTCTGGGTTGGAAAGGAGTGTGCCCCTCTTCTCTGATGGTGAGAGTAAGGGGTGGCACAGAGATTATTGTGAGGGCTGGGGCAAAGAGTGAGCCAGAACTGGAAGCTGAAGGGCATGGTACCATGGCCTCCTCTGGATGAAGCTGGCCTTCCCTATCAATGACTCTTGATTGCAAGTGACAGAAGTTCAACTCAACCTAGCTTAAGTCAAAAAGGAACTTCAGGGTCATAAAAGTGAGAACTGGTGCCAGAGCTTTTCCTCATTCTTTGGGTGGTTTCTTTCCTCTGGCCAGGGGAGGTGGCTTCCAGAAGCTCCAGGCCTGCATGGTCTCAGCTCAACAATCTTAGTCCAACAACATTTTTTTCCCACATCTATATACTAATCCTAGGGAAGATGCTGATTGGCCTTGCTGGGGTCACATGTCAACTCCTGAACCAATCACTGTGGTCATGGTAAGGAGGATATTCTGATTGGCCAGAGTAGAATCTCCGCCCACTCCTGGGTGGGAGCACGTGAAGGTGGCTCTACCAGGACTGCATGGAGTGGGGAGAAGTTCTCCAAAGAAAACAGGAGGAGGGGCATGGAGACACAGGTACGCCAACAAAAGCTTTGGTGCTCCTCGCCCACTTCACAAACGCTGGGAAGAAAAAAGACACAGTTTTATCCCTCAACAACCTTCTCGCAGGGGAAAATAAGCTGTTTAAATGAGCTTCCCGATGCCAGGTCTTGGGAGGGGCGTGGAGGAGACCTGTGGACACACGGGTACCTCAGACACTGCTGCCCCCTCTCCTAGGATGCCCGCAATCTGGTGATAGGGACAGAGATGGAGGCCACCCATGAGAACAAAACCTCTCAGAGGCCTTGAGACTTAAACCTTACTTTGTTCAACTGTCCTCATTTACAGCAGGGGGAGCCACCCAGAGAGGGGCAACTCACGCAGTGCCACACTCCCCAGCCAGGACAACTACCTGTCATACTCGGTCTGCTCTTAAAACTGCTTCCTGGAGAGGAGCCCATGATATATATGTAGGGGCCTGAGTTCAAGTCCCAGACTTCCCACTGACTCCCTGGGGATCAGGGCGGTTCACCTAAGTTCTCTGAACCTCAGTTTTCTCAGCTGTGCAATGGAACCAATAACCTCCGCTTGGCCTTCCTCCCGCGCCTGCTCTGAGGCTATAGCCATGAGCATTTGTCACATCTCGCACGGGATGGAGCCATGAGATACAGCTATTGACCGCCTGCTCCATGCCTGGAAGAATGTGCCGGGTGCTGGGGGTAGCAGGGCAAACACAACACAGGCCCTGCCTCCTGGAGCTCACATGTAGTAGGAGATCAGATCTCAACAGTGAATGCATCCTACAGGTGGTGGTACCG